TGGCAGTAGGACTTGCTCCATTATGTTTTTTCATATAATGTGCAACTTGGAATATTTTCATTATTAAAGTTCATTTATTTGTGTTAGTTGAATTCTGACATTTATAGCCAGATGCTTGAATCAGTATTTATGAAATTAATTGTTATTTGGGCAAGGCAGACAGATGGAACTGAGACAAATTGGCTTTTTCTGCATATGAATAAACATTTTGCTTATTGCGTAGCAAAATTCTTTTTTATTTTTTTCCCTGTATTCCTCCCCCATGGCAATTTCTACCTTCATTTTGTCAACACTTCTGTGAGCTAACTCTGTGAGGCTCAGCTAGAAAAAGTGTTTTTATACTCTTCCTCCTACTCTGCAAACGCATAGATTAAACAAAACAGTGTTGCTCATCCTAGGCAGACAGAGGTTTTGAGAGAAGTTCTTCAGACTGTGTGACATCAATAAAAGTCTGAGACATTTGTACAGAACCTTAATGCTATACTACTGTAGGTTCCTCACCGTTCTCCTCATGTGCCCTACTACCATAGGTTCTTCACTGCTCTCTTCCCCATGTCTTTGTCTTCTGTCCTTAAAAGAACATGAGTCATCCTCACAAAGAGAAACCTGTTTAAGCTTCATAAAAATGCTTTTAATTTTTTTTCCTCTGAAAGAGTTTCAAGTATTTCCAGGGGACTCAGTTTTTCCTTAATAGTAGTAAAATACTGAGTAAAAGGTGCAGCAAAATGCTGCTAAATCAAAACACCCCAGTTATTAACCTGCACTGTATTTGATCTGTATTCGATCTGCATAGTGACTAAGAGATTCAGACTAGGGGGAAAGAAATGGGAAGAAAAACCTATCCTAAAATTTGTAATCCTTCTTTGACAGAAATTTTGCACTGCTGCCACTATTTCAAATATATATGAGTGAAGATGATATTTCAGCAATGATATGTCTTAGCTACTTTGTTTCAAAATAAATTTATATCTGGCTTTAGTTAGATCTGACATCCTCAAGGGATTGAATTTGGAACTGGAAGAACATTGTTCTGTGCAACAGATAGCTTTCCAATGAGAACAATGTATTGATGTGATATTTCTGTTAATTAACCTCATATAAGATCTACTTTGGAATTAATGTAGTGTAACTGTACTATTGGTTCCCCTAACCTTCCTTGCTTTGATGATGGTTTATGTAATATATCACAGTCCCTAGAAGATTTCTAAGGTAGTTTTCCTTTGGTGAAAAGACAGTTTAATATGCCAGACATTTCCTCTCTCATTCTACTCTAACAAGGTAATATAAACAACCTACCTCTGGACCAGAAAAGCAGCTGGGGATTTTTGGTTTGTTTTTACTGACTCAGATTTATGGTACAATTTATTTTGCAGCAAATCTTGTGTCAGATGTTTTCCTGTGGTTCATCTTGACAGCAGTTAGAAACCTGCGATAATAAATTAAACTTTTCTAGCTGAAATGCTTACATTATGTATTCAAAATAGTATGGAGTTCTGCATTTTTGTCTACCTATCTAATACATACTTTTTGTGGGTTTACTTCTATAATTTGTCCTTTAATTTTTTAGATTTGCTTGCAAATTAGAAGAATCTATATAATAAAAAATAAGGACTTTATTTTTAACGTTGCTTAAACTTTAGGTTTCTTACCACAGAACAGTTTAAACTGAATTTTGCTATTCAGTAAGGTTTAATTCTTTTTGGTAGTTGTGTTTCTTTTTAAATTCGGGTCTACAAAATTTAAAAACAAACAAAAAACCAAAAAATGTTCCTTGCATACCCTGCCAAAAAGGTATCTATAATTTTGTTTTAAATCCTCTATACAGTATTTTAAACCAAAACCAAAATAACTGACAACTTCTGGTGTCATGATCTCCTCCAAGGGTACGATGTGACTTGCAGCTTCCCTGCCTGTTGTCTTGTAAGTGGAAAATACTGAGGTCTGAGCTGTTATGCATCATGGTAATTGACCCCAGCAATACCTGCAGAGTTCACAAGAGAATGTTTTGGTTTTTCCTCTTTGGAGTAGTTCTTTGGAGTCTACCCCTCAATGTAACAGTCACTATATGAATAATCCCAGCAAAATCAATTAGTCTACAAAATTGAATTCTTTAGGTAAAGCATGCAGATACTGCATATATAGGAAGACAATATAAGAACAGAAGCAGATAGGAAATGTAGAAAAAGGTTGAAAATTTTCAAATCATATTCTGAAAGAAATAAAGGAATTTTACTTTCAGTATGTTTGGGACTTGATATATGACAATGTGTATACAATGCATAATTCACACAGAACATATGCAGTGGACCAATTTTTTCACTTTCATATACTGAAAGTGAAAGTCCTATATTTCTTTCAGAATATTGTTTGAAATTTTACAGCTAATTACTTTAGTGATAATTGAAAACTGTAATCAATATATCCATTGTGGTCAGGGCTATGAGCTATGGACTCGTGTAAGAAGAGTTTTGTTTGTATAGGGA